CGGCGTTCAATGTGATTCTTCTGCGTGTCAGCAACATCGTCAACGTGGTTCTGTATTTCTTCGTGTCAGCGACATCGTGATGGCAGTGTTGTGGGTTGTGAACAGAAGACTGGAATTATCGCCGATGTGACCGTGTGTTCGCGTATCAGTGGTGTAACAACAAGATGAGATGACGTAAACTGTCGGGCATTGATGCCGCTGGTCGGGCCGTTATCGGAGGGGCCGGGGTGTCGCAGGATGACATTCCGCTTTACATTAAAGAGTTTAAAACCACTTGAGGGATTAGGTGCAGTCGATCGACGTGTGGATAGTCATGTTGGAACGCTGGTCTGAACGGTAAGCTCCTATCGTACAGTGGCCAATGTGACTGTCGGTCCCCGAGAGCGATTGCGCTCTGGGGAAAAGACAACACTACGAAAGTATGACGGAAAGTACGTATATTTATAATGGAAGTTTAGCATAAAAAAAAGACATGCAAAATCGAAAAAAAACAACAAAAAACGCTATCCTTTATTTTACTGTTTAAATATATTACGGTTCCTGTAGAAACTGCCCTCTAAGTGGCGCGCTGGGATGAGCGCTAGAAGTTTTCGAGCTCGCAACGGCGCAGCTCCCTACACTTAACAGTTGTCGCAAGTCGCGGCTTTGACTGCATTCAAGTTGATCGAAAAGCGATTTCTGTTCCCGTGAAGCATCACTTCCAGCTGAGTGAATATCCGTTCTACAGAGATTAATGCAAGACGGCAATTGCAGCTTTGCGCGAACAGCACAAATAGAAAAACGAACACTACAATATAAATACTGGCTACGAAGGGCCATGCGGGAAAACAAACTCATGGCTTGGAACCACATTGGAGCGGCTCGATTTATTGGCTTTCAAATAATTATGGCATGATCGAGCGTCTTCTTTTTAGTAAGAGATTCATCCCCTGATCCATTAAAAATAGCCTCAGATGTATGATATTGCTGGAAAAAAATTAACATGTTCGGAATATTTTTTTTGTTTAGGGAGTCACCGAAAAATTCCGTACGTTCAAAACGACCACTATAAAAGACGGAAACGCAGGGCTCGGTAGTAATGATCGGGGTAGTGTGCTGTTGTATTGATGTTTGTATTTGCGATGCCTGTGTATGCGTTCAATATATGTTGACCTGATGTTTGTAGTGTGCGCAACGTGTCTACATGTGTTAGAGATTCCGAAGAAAAGCAAACGCAATTGTGGCGTAAGGAAATAAAAATATTTTTTTGTAAAACATGAATTGGGCGGTACCTAGCGCCACCTAGCCTAGCTACGTGCGATTACTCTGCTTGACCCTGCCATCTGGTGGCAAGCGATTTAACATCCTTTTACGCTACGCGGCTACGCCATAATTTCGTGTTACCGTGCTGAGATAAGCCAAGAGATTGCTTTGGATTTGCTTTTTTTTGAGAGCGGCTTTTGGTTTTGCGGGCGAATGATTTTCACTCCTCCGTGATGTGCGGTTGACGCAACGGTTGACGAAGGAATTGTGGCTCGAGGAATAGCAAAGTTAGGACATAAAGTGCGCGAACTGAGTGCCGGTCGTCTCCGTTGAACATCGCAGTGCTGACGATGAGAAGACTGAGTGACTGCATGCTTTCGAAACGAAAGTTTCTTTACCTGCAGGGGTAAAGAAACTTCGGAAATAAATACAGTTCGCGGGAAGCTCGTGTTACGTTTTTATTTCCTGCTCCTCTCGCTTCGTGCAATAGACTTAGTGTTCTCGTTAAGCCTTACCAAGCTCGATTTGCTCGATTCGTGGCCGCCATAATGAGATGCAGTCGACGGAGGAACTTTTCCTCCCCTGCTTAAGGGACGAAAGTTTCTCCCTTTCTGAAGGAACATATGTGTCAAGAGCGTTCCTCCCTTTAGGGAGGACTATACTGACCCCTTTTTCTAAGAGTGTATGGTGCAGTTTTGGAATTTGTATCCTCTAAACGAGGAAACACTAATGTTCTTTCTTTTAAGGCGTTACCGGTTGTTGGTCAGCATGAGCATTTTCTCTTTAGTCCTTAGTTTTTAGTCGTTATTTATTTGGCTCCGGAGAGCCGCCTCACCCCGGAAAGGCAGCAGCCCGTACCATGGAGGCCCGCGGTGCCGCGTATAGTGAACATGATAATGTGATGAGTATATACATGCATGATGACGACGACATCAATTGTTGGTATTGGGGAGGATGGCAGTCCGATTCGCAGAAATCCAGATTTCGTGGAGGTGGGTTGAACGGGTCAGCAGCGAGCCATGGGGATCTGGCATGCCGTTTGATCGGTGCATGAAGGAGCCCCAGGAACATGATGGCGCTGTTGCTCGCTGGGGTCCACTGGGGTCGAAGCATCAGGGTCCAAGGAGTTAGCCCAGTTAAAGTAGAAGCTGCCGCTCCCAAGGAACCAGGGCTCAGATTGAGGCACCGCCGTCGCCCGGTGTGTCATCCTCTTAACGTCGTTGTCTTTGTGTTCTTTATTTATACGTGTATATATGTATAAATAAAATAAGATAGATAAAAAGACACACAATCGAACGGCCATTGGCGCGCTGTTTTAGTTATATTTCTAGTTATTTCTAGGTATACACGCCTGAAAGAATTTTGTTCAGTTTCTGTCTGTAACCGAAATAAAACTTTACGTACACAGGCAAATTCAAAGAAAAATATATACAATGCAAGTGTTTCTGACCTTACATATCAATTGCTTATATTTGAAATCCAGGCCACAAATTTCGATTGTAAACATCTAATTATTATATAGCCATATTATAACCCCCACATTCTTAATCAATAAGCTGTCACAAACCCATCGTACAAATCTTTTTCGATAAGCCTACGTAAAGGTAGCTTGGCCTCAAGCTTCTTGGTGCACGCCGGAGTGCTAACTTTACATTAGCCAAAAGCGGGCCGAATTTGAAAGTCTTGAGGAATAAAAAGTATTAATTAAAATACCGAAATTTTAACTGCGGTGTCTGCTATGAGTCGGCAGCTATTATACTCCTCAGGAACTGTATGAGCCTTCATTTCAGTGGTAAGAAATTTAAAGTTTTGTCAAAGTGGCCCTTAAGGGGGATCCACACGAAGGAGAACTCCGCGGACTGACGTCGTGACGTCAACAACCCGTGAAACTCCGCCCTCGGCTCTGCCGCGTGCACCTGCGGGGCTTTCGTGCTGGTGGAACGAAGCCTCCGCACCTCCGCCACGGAGGAGAACGGCGCCGCGAGGCGTCAAAAAGGGATGACGTATGTCTCACGTGATGCGCCCTCCGCGAAGGAAAGGGGCGGATTTCTCCTTCGTGTGGATACCCCATTAGGACCCATTGCAACAATATTATATCGGACCTAGGAATAAAAAGTATACAATCCTGAGGTTCAAGTAGGTTTTAAATAAGAGTGTATTTGTGCCCTTTATAAATATCCCAGGCAACTTAAGGATTTCTGCAGTAGTTTGGCTGAAATTATCATTTTACTGCGTTTTGATGAGAATAGCCAAGAGAGTCCGCAAGGAGATCGTGTCCGGGAATGCTGGGTAGGAGAGGTAGAGATATTTGAGACGCTGTTCCGTAGTCCATCCGCTATGATGGGCTATGCGCTCATAATGCTGAAGCTAGTCCTATACATTTCTGTGAGCCTCACCATGAAATGGCGTCGGATTGCTTGGGGTGACAGGCATGAAGACATCGGATGGAGCGGTCGAGAACAGGAGCGACTGAGTGCTCCTGGCTGGTCTCGTCAATAGTTTAATCCTGCTTTTTGCTGGCAGCAGACCAAGCTCCGGGGGCTTTCCTTGAGTGCGGAGCTTGCTCGTTCACCGGCTTCCTCCTCAAAAAATATCCTTTCGCTCAAGAGCGGGCATTGCGGGACCTCGTAGGGGTACTCTGCATGGGTTGTATCCCGCACCTCAACCAAAATGTGACGAATGACAATTTATGAGGCGACAAATGACAGAAGGAAACTAGACGTTTCATGTGGCGAACTTGTGCCTTAAATAAAATGAAGGCTAGCGTCGCAGGCTTCGATGGCGACGTAACAGCATTATCGAGAACGGGGGGGAGACTCATTTTAACGGCGCAGTGCAGCTACTTTTAAGCCTTTCCTGGGAGCCTAGGATGTTCTTCCTCGATCGTTGTTGAACAATATATTTTAAAGGGAACAAGCTAGACGGTCAGTGGCGTCACGAGGGTCAGCGGCACTCAAGGCGACAGGCCGCCGCGACCTCCCCTCCCCCCCCCCCCCCCCCCCCCCCCCCCCCGGCTCTTGTGGCCCGCCGCAACACCCCCCTGAGCCCTTCACCCAGGGCGGTCCGGCCCCCCCGCCCCCCCGCTCCCCCTTGTGACGCCACTGTAGACGGTTCTTCAACCTTCTCGAACGTAGTGCCGGAAATTGAACTCTAGCCAAGCGCGCTGCCGACTTAGTTACGTAAGCGCGCGGCAATATGACAGTTCGGTCAAACGATCAAAACGAAACTGCAAGTTTTTCCCAATAAATTTGGTTTATATGCTGCCGTGTCTGTCGAATTTGCATAAGGTTAATCTAGCTGCGTGCCAGCGTCACCCACACGTTTGCTTGTATCGCGACCGGCCGTGATAACGGCCGGTCGCGATACGAGCAAACGTGACTCCTTCGAAATTTTTCTGGGAGTCATCGCATCACCCAGAAAAAGTTCGAAGGAGTCACAGAGATCACATCCCGGAACCCTCTAACGATAAGAAATAAAAGCCTCGGACTGTCAAGCATAGAATGAGTCACCCTCCCGTCGCCGACCTAAGATTCGCGGTACTGTCCTTGCTGTAACTGAAGAGACAAGTTTTCTTTATTAGGCGTTTATGTTTATTTTTCCAATAATCTGCTGTTTTATTTTTTTTTCATTTGTGGCAAGATATTCATGTGTTTAAAATGCAAACAAACCCCGCTTTGCTTTTTTTTTTTTTTTTGCAGTTTGAGATATGACATCTGCGTGAGTGCATTTGGGTAATTCCATGTTATTTAGGGCGAGCCTCAGTTGGAGTTTTGCTTCTTTCTGTAATCTTCATAGGCTGCAATAGAAAAAAAAAAGAGATTCGTATTCATGAAACGTCTTCTCATACAGTGAAAATATCTAACATAAAATGAAATATGGCCACTGCAAACCTTGGCTTCAATATTGCATGTCACTTTACTAATAGTATCAAAATATTTATCGAAAGTGGTACTTTGCCGATCTGGTCTAATTCACCATAAAATGGTTGTACACTTTTCAACTGCTGAGCCGTTTAGACTAAGCTATGAAGTGTAAAATATCAGTTAAAAAATTTATATTTCGTGATAAACCCAATGATATAAAAGGTTTAAATCACTCATCGAAGACTTAATGCACACTTTTTTACTCTCGAGGAAATATGAGCTGAAACATTTAATTCGGACTCCTTCTTTGTCTGCGCTTCCCACGAACTCAATTTTCTTAAAATTATAAAATAGAACTAATATGAAACTTCAACTTCGCATTCCGTTTCTAGTTAGGTTCACAACTCTCTCAGAACCTGGCAGGTATACCAAAAGAGCGTCAAGAACCATTTCAGCCCATACATTCGCCGCGATAGTACGTACAAGTATTGGTGTTTTTAGCTCTATATTCGCCTAACTTGCTCAAGCAAACGTTTGCAGTGGATATTGGCTTCTTTTAAGTGTATGGTTCTGCTGATCGACGATAACTTCGGATAATAACCGCAAGTATATTGAAAAGAAACATCACTGCTTCTTTTTGCATGGCATATACTCACTTTCTTCGTAACGCGATTTGACTAGTTCTTTTTCAACTTGAATTCCGTAATCCCTTCCGTCGGACACACAGCGGCCGTTCTGACATTTTCCAACAGTGATATTCGCATAATATTCCTCTGTTTCGATTGTTGATAACTGAGAAGAGATATGTCATTGAGTGATAATGCATTCAAGTACAATATAATGAACGCTCGTTAAGCACAATATAAAATGTAACAATCAGATGAGTCGTGGACAATCAAGTTGAAAGTTTCCAGAATCGCGAAATCCGCAATGCTCAAAAAATGTATGACAGACATTGGTTTCGACATTTTTATTCACCAAGCCCAATTACCTGTGGTGCGTTATTAGCTCATTCGCACTACCACTCTTGTTGTTCGAGTGGCCTCATGGGGCACTTGCACGAGATCATGATGCAACGCTGCTTCCGGCTCGAAATCTCATGCCGGTGGCATTCGATTGTTTACATCAGGAGGGTAAAGACAGAAGCAGAAAGCGACAAACCGTGAGCGATGACATCGGCGGTCCCGAGAAAAAGAAAAAAAAAAAAGAAAAAAAAAATGCGCGACAGAAAAGTTTAAAGAAAACGTTTTTTGACGACCAATGAGTCTTATCTGAACGAAATGCGTGAGCATCAGTTCTCTCGGCAACGGCACCATGGCAACTCAGCTCGCCCGCACTCAGAAGGGCATTCCGCCGCGCCGCGCATTTGTAAACGTAGGCAATACGCGGCATGGCAACGCTGCTCGCGCCGTATTGGTTGTTGTTTGAAACATCCTTATGAAATTAGTAAGATTACAGTTATGAGTACGACTCAGCGGGCTGCGTGCCTGCTGAAAAGGGGTAGGGGAGCGGGTTGTGGAGGAGGAGAACGGTCAAAGATTTGAAGTACTACATGAGAACGACTAGACCGGCCATATTCAGATACGCCAGGTGCGCATCGAAGGTCCGCGTTCTCGCGTCATCAGTGTCAGCCGGTCTTGTCCAGGCTTCCAGCGAGTTAGGCCTTACCGCGACCAGATAGGGGAGTGCCTCCTCCCTCTCTTTCCGTCTCGGTGGCACTCCCAGAGGTGTCGTAGAGTTACGAGGGGCCGAGATGATTGGCCGGTGGTGGTGTCCGTGGCGGTGGTCTGCAGGGCCGGCTTCAACACCATAGGCCTGCTCTTGTCATAGAGCAGGCGTATGACAAGTGAAGAAGAGGCCAACAACAGAAAGGGAGGGGAAATAAGAAAGTTTGTGGTCATTCCCTACATACACGGCTCGTCCCACACCCTAAAAAACATTGCGGGCAGGTGTGACGTCGACGTTTTATTCTCTGCTCGGGACAAGTTGTCCAGGTTTCGCAGAGCTGTTAACCCTTCTCCGAGGGCGGCCACGGCTTGCAGTACGAGGCATCGAGATCGCTTCGTCTCGTGTTCTGGGGGGGGGGATGATTTATTCTCGCCCTCTGACGTGTGGCAAGCGCTACGTTGACCAGACGGGCCTCTGTCTCAATGACAGGTTAAGAGAGCACGCTTACAGTGTCTCAACAACCGTGTCTGGTCATCTGTTCATTCATTGCCGCGACTGTGGTTGACTACCCGATTTCCAACGGTGTGAGGTTCTTAAGCTTACTCGGGAAATTCTAGAGGCTGTTGAGATAGCGAGGTTGGGTACAGCATGTGTAAGCAGTCCTTCTGTGGCCCTATCAGGCAAAGAGATGCATTTTTTTTTTTATTTTTGGTTGCCTGACTTGCTCGTTTTTAGCACGTACTCTGTGCGGCTGTGTCACGGCGCATTTTTTTATTTTATATATGTATTTGTTTCTAATTGTTTTATTTTTATTGGTGATGCATCACATGGGCTGAATTCTTGCTTCTCTTTTGTTCGTGACACCGCAAATATATATTGCGATTTTGCGTTCAATAAACTCAGTTGTAAGTCAGCGCTATGTCCGTGTAACTTCTTTGTCTGGTCCTCGTTTTTTCGCGCTGTCGTTAATTCCGAAGTATGTACCAACTCGCCAAGTCTCAACTTTAGCGTTTGCTTTCCCGCAAAACACTCGGAGGGCCAATCACCGCAACTTACGGAGGCAGCTGAGCGAATGACGATGCCAAAACATATGTTTAGACCAAAAAACGCAGTCTGAGTTGTGACATTAAGCAATGCAAAACGTCACGCTTGCATTGCTTAATGTCACAACTCAGACTGCGTGTCTTGGTCTTAACATATGTTTCGGCATCGTCATTCGCCTAGCTTCCTCTGTCAGTTGCGGTAATTTGCGCTCCGAGTGCTGTGCGGGAAAGCAGACTCACGGGCTTTTTTTTAGAGTGTTGTCTACCTCCTCCGGCTGGTCAGCCGCTGCTGCGCCCCTCGAATTCCCCCCCCTCCCCCCCCCCCCCCTCCGGCTCGGACCTGGTCTGGTACCCGGACCCCACGCCGCCACCGCACACCCGCACCAAGTCCAGGTGGCGCTTGTCCACCCGACTGCCCGAGTGCGAGGTATGCATACTCCGGGGTACCCCCGGGCAGCTGAGATCTGGCTCCGCCGAATCATTACCGGCTGGGCATGGACGCCGCATCGCCTAGCCCGCCACGGCTGAGGCCGCCCGAGGACGCAACCTGCGACCGCTGTGGCTCAGACCCTTTGGTCTGAGCCACAGCGGTAGCACTTGTCATAGGCCTGCTCTTGTCAAGAGCTGGCCTGTGACAAGTGAAGAAGAGGCCAACAACAGAAAGGGAAGGGAAAGAAGAAAGTTTGTGGTCATTCTCTACATACACGGCTTGTCCCACAACCTAAAACGCATTGCGGGAAGGTGTGACGTCGACGTTTTATTATCTGCTCCGGAGAAGTTGTCCAGGTTGCGCAGAGCTGTTAACGCTTCTCCGAGGGCGGCCACGGCTTGCAGTACGAGGCATCGAGATCGCTTCGTCTCGTGTTCTGAGGGGGTGATTTATTCTCTCCCTCTGACGTGTGGCAAGCGTTACGTTGGCCAGACGGGCCGTTGTCTCAATGACAGGATAAGAGAGCACGCTTACAGTGTCTCCAGAACCGTGTCTGGTCATCTGGGCATTCATTGCTGCGACTGTGCTGGCCTACCCGAGTTCCAACGGTGTGAGGTTCTTAAGCGTCATAGGGACCAGCTTATTCGGGAAATTCTAGAGGCTGTTGAGATAGCGAGGTTGGATGCAGCATGTGTAAGCAGTCCTTCTGTGGCCCTATCAGGCAAAGAGATGAATTTTTTAAAATTTTTTGGTTCCCTGACTTGCTCGTTCTTTAGCACGTACTCTGTACGGCTGTGTCATGGCGCATTTTTTTTTAATTTTATATATATATATTTTTTTTTTCCTAACTGTTTTAATTTTATTGGTGATGTATCACATGGGCTGAATGCTTTCTTCTCTTTTCTTCGTGACACCGCAAATATATATTGCGATTTTGCGTTCAATAAACTCAGTTGTAAGTCAGCACTACGTCCGTGTCACTTCTTTGTCTGGTCCGCGTCTTTTCGCGATCTTGTTAATTCCGAGGAAAGCAGACGCACGGACTTTTTTTGGAGTGAAGGACGCTCTTGCCAGCCAGTGCGCCGTCTCGTTGCTCCGGACACCCCTGTGGCCCGGAACCCAGACGACTTTTATGCTTGCAACAGGCACCAGGACAACTACGAGCCCCGCGACGGCCGCACGGGGGAGGTTACTGTCGGGGAGCGAGGGGGTGCCGACGAGTGACACGCCTCGACCGTTCCTGCCGAGTCGTAGTGGATGAGGATTTCAGATGATTGGGAGCCCTTCAGTGGTGGTGTCGCGGAGCTCCAGCTCTGCTCCGAGCAGGATCGCACCGAGTTCGGCCTCAAGGGAGTAGAAACCCTGCGGGAGCCGGACACTGGAGGCTGACCCAGGGGACATGCAGCGGTCAGCGGGGAAATAATACCAGACTCAGTATCCGTCGCCGCGTCGCAGTAGCAGCAACTAACCTCGAAGCCGTCGTCGTCAGCAGCGCGCGCATGTGTAACCGCTCAAGACCGGCGTCGGCCGGGATAGCCGCCGCCGGCTCGGGACGGCATTGGTCTGGGGGGGCAAGGTTCGACAGACTCCAGGGCCCGTTTTCTCGAACGCGAACCGTGGGTTAAAGTTAACCATTGTCCCTAGGAGAGGGAATTCTAGGTCACGTGACTGGGTGAGCTGGGGCGCCGAGGGAGGAGCAGTGCCTACAAGCAAAATGGCCGCGACGTCGCTTAATGAGGGCTAATAGTTCCTCTTGGTTCTGCTGAATATTCATTTCGATCCGGCTGTTATATTAATGACGCACCATCAACCTATTAGCACGTCAAGCCAAGCGGTAGTTCAGAGGAACTACTAAACAACCGACGGCAGCATTCCGCGAACGCACCACCCTTCAGCAGTCAGGGATCCAAGTCATATGACGGTACATAAGCCATTGCAAGTGTTTTTATGGTGAGCAAAAAATGTTTTGCGAACAATTGTTGGAATATATTTATACTAACACGTTTAATTTGTCACACTATGCACGCCAACTCGTGAGCCAGCGATTACTTTGCGAAGAAAGGGGGTTATCCTCGATGAAGTCTTCGTTCCGGCTGAACAGCTGGGATATTTTACTGTTTTTTTTTTGTTCGCAGTGCGCCGACAGTATGCCGGCAGCATCGAGGTTTCTACATATCCCCGGTGGCCAGCAATTCAACGGTGACAAGAAGCTTAGCTCCTCGTCACCGGTGGATCGGTTCGACAAAAAGAAAAGGGGGCAAACAGTTTAAATCAGAAGGAATCGCAGAAACGAGCGTCGCAAGGAAGAAAAACGAGACTACAGCACCGGCGTTGCCAGACTGGAAGGCACACGGGAAAGTTATCCGTTGTTTATGGCGAAACGTATTGAAGGAAATGTTTCTTACATATTCGAATATTCGTCGGCCAACTCTAGCATAGTAGCTAAAATTTCTTCGTACCATCTGAAGCAAATAAATTGGTCTTCAAGTACAACATTACCATATTTTGACTTAAAATACCATACTAGATCGATAACAACCAGCGGAACCAGCGGAAAAAGAGGATAAACAAAATGACTGGCTTGTTTCACGGATAGATGGCGCATCTTACTGCCCAATCAAAAATAATCATTGCTGTCCTATATCCAGCCA